GGACTTTCTTGAATGGCGAAGAAACGTCAGAATTGGTCGCCATTGCACGAACCTGATGGAGTGAACTGGACGGATATGCAGTTCGGTTGGAGAATCGTGAGAAAGAAGAAGAATTTGATCTGTTGACGAGGGGTCTGGCGAGAATTCTGCAACCGTAAAACGCCATGCCTGTTCGAGTTTCTACCACTTCAATGTTCTAAGACTTCTCCAACCGAACGCCAAATCTCATTTTTTGCAGCAAAATCCCTCCAGCCGAACTGCATATCCGATCGCAAAATGCGTTGCCCCTCTTCTCTCTCCTCTGTTCGAACGCAAATTTGCGTCCAAACGCATAAGATGCGTTCTAATTTTTTTTATTTCAATTTGGTCCTTCATTTTTATTTCTTATTTACAATTGATGTTATCGTTTTAAAAATTAATAAATTCAATTTATTTTTAATTTGATTTAGAATGCTAAGATAATATGAATAGATAAATAATTTAAAACATACTATTTTTTTTTTTTAATTTCATTAATGAATAACATATTTTTTTAATTTCATTAAAATAATGAAATACATCTTTTTTTTTAATTTCATTAAAATAATGAATAACATATTATTTTATACTTGTTCACAATAGTGGTGTAAATATACATATTAATTTATATTTTTTCACAATAATGATGTAAAATACTAAAAAATTTTGATTTCATAAAAATTAAATAGTACAATTTTTAAATAATAAATATTATGTTTATAATTTGATTCTATATATTTCGCGATAATAATGAAAATATACATATAATTTATGATATTTTTATTTAATAAGGAAAAAAACACTAACATTAAACAACAACAACATTACTAATGCAAATTGACTTGAAAGACTATCTATTTTTACGTGATTGTTGTAATTTTCTATTTTATCTTGTGTGTTGTAATATTCAAATTTTCATTTTGTGCGTTGTAATTTCTAATTTTATCATGTGCGTTGTAATTTTTTATTTTATTTTGTGTGTTGTAATTTTTAATTTTTCATCTTAATGAATTGTAATTTTTAATTTTATTTGTGTGGTGAAATTTTAATTTTTTATGAATATTTATTTCTGCGATTTTAATATGTATAATTAATTTTAATTACATAAATTTCAACAAATTTAAAATAATAGTGTAGTTTAATTTGTAAAGTTGTAAAATATGTGAGTAGTATTGAAAAGTTATAAAAGTTGGTGTAAAAGAGAATATTCTAAGAATATTCTTTTGAGTTTGAGAATGAGTTTTTCAGTTGGAGATGAATTACTGTAAAATGGGATAGTTACTGCAAAATGGGTTTGAGTTTGGGTTTTTCTGTTGGAGATGGCACGTATGGAGGTGTTTTCTCACCTTCAACCAAAAGCCAAGTAAAAACCCTGCGGACTGGGGATTTTGCAATAATTTGTTCAAAAAGAATTATTTTGGTTAATCGTAGTTAATTTTAAAAAAGTAGTGTGGTTAGTTGTTATTGGAATATTAAGAGTGTATTAAAATAATATTTAAAATAAAATAATTAAAATTGATTTGATGTAAAAGTAAAAGATAATTGATTGAAAATGATAGGTAGCTAAAATTATGTGAGTGGGTGAATAGTGAATTAAAGTTGATGTGATGTGTAAGAATGATTGGTTTGTATTATTTAATTATATGAATAATATTAAAGATAGTGGAGTTGAGTTAAAATTTAGATTTTGAGTTGAAAAAAGTGAGTAAATTATTCCATAAACAAGCAAGCCCTGAGTAGTTTGTAGTAGGGCTCAACATGAGACTCGAAGAATTCTGAACCATTCCGAAAAATCGAACTAAATTCACTCCGGACCGAAAAATAACCGTTGACCGTTTGACTTTCTCTCGAACCGAACCGAAAAAATAATTCGTACGGTTCTGGAGATTTTACAAATATCCGTACCGAGAACCGGACCGAAAAAATAATTCTCTCTCTCCATATTAAACTTGCATTAATTTTGGGATATGAGATTTCTCACTGATTCATAATTTTTTATCTCCATATTAAACATGTATTAATTTAGGGCTAAATAATCGCAAGCAAAAATAAAATTTTAAAAAAAAAAAAAATCTGATTTCAAAATTTCAACAATTAATCGACATCTTTATTTTTCGAAAAAAAATCGTCCAACCGCCAAATATATGTTTAGATATACAGTATATATACAATATATAAACATGATCAGACAGTACTCTAATATTTAAACATGTAAACAATATGTAAATTAACCGTATAGTTATACATAAAATAAACAACATGTAAACAACACTACGGGATAAAACATAATACACAATTCTAAAATGACTCCAAGTACATGTTCAGATATACTGCATATATACCTCAAATAAACATGATATGACAGTTCCCTAATATTAACCGTATAGTTATACATAAGATAAACAATATATAAACATTTGTGAAGTGGAATTATACATAGATACACAATTCTTCTAAATGACTGACAGAGGTTGCTACTCTCGAATAGAGCTCTCGGCGAACTTGCCCAACAAAACGATCGCTACTCTTCTCGCACGGGCCCCGCGAATGGCTGATGTTCGTTGAAAAGAAAATGGCGGCCCCGTGTTGTTGCTCCTCGGAAACGAACCTGTCGGGAAATGGCTGCTCAAAATTGATGGCGAGACCCATCGGAAAAAGGAAAAAGGTCGCTGCCCTTCACGCTGAAGGACCGACGAGGGCTGATGCTGTAAGAAGGTCGCCAGCTACTCTCTACTTCGCCGGCAAGGGTTGTGAACAGAAACCGACGGGAGGTCATTGATCGAGAAGGTTGCTGATGTTCGAGGGTCGAGGGGCCAAGATGGAGGAGGTGAAGGTGGTGAGGATTCAGGCCGAGTGAATGGGCCCGATCTCCATGGCTTCTCGGCGCTGGCGATGGGTCACTCCCGGCTATGCAAGGAATCTGAAACTCGAACCTGCTGTTACTAATGGCGGAGAAGTCGGCGACTATGCTGTAAGAATTAATCTCGAGCGGATACTGCAAATCACAAAAAGGAAAAAGAAATTGTCGCTTCTGCTCATGGAAATCACCGACAGAGAAAGATCGATGGCTCTCGATTTGATGAGAGACCTAGATTATTCGGCGATTTAAGGTCTGGGATTTTGGGCGATTTAAAGGGACAACGAAAACTCTCAGATTTGCAGCGTGAGGAAGAGAAAAAAAAAAGAAGAAAGAGATGAGGGAAAGAGATTAAAGAACGAAAAAAAGAAAGAGATAAGGGAGAGAGAGATTAACGAGAAGAGGGTGAGAGAGAGAAAGGGATAATTCTTACAATTATGCTAAAGGATAACTTCTATTATATTATAAAAAAATCGTAATATTGAATGTAAGTTAAAGTGTTCGTACTTTTAATAATATGTAGTAGAGGATGAGTAAGGGGGTAATTTTCTCTTGTAATTTTTGTAAGCTAATGTCTTGGGCCATCTATATATATATAATTGCTAGCTAATAGCATTTAATAAAACATTTAATAAAACCTCATTTCGATTTCCCTCCAAAAACCGTTACAAACTTTATCATTTATATCTCTCTCTCTCTATATTTAATTACTAATAATAAATTTAATAATATTTATTATTGGTTACCATCTTTTTATATTACAATCTTCTATTGTTATTATTATTATTATTATTATTTTTATTATTATATAATTACTAGCTAATAGCATTTAATAAAACCTATTTAATTTTACCTATGTGG